CGCGACGTCACCTCCTTGGCTCGTTTCCACGGTAATTCGAGCCTTGCCGTGGCCCGATCCATTACCTCTAACAGCTCATCATACGCAGGGCAGGTGGATTGGGAAAGCTCAGCCTCAGCTTCTTCACTCTCCACATCCATTTCCTGCTCTTGTTGGGCTGGGCCCAACTGAGCACTGGCCCCTGGATCAGATGATACTAGAGAGAGGATATCATCATCTAGTGGCTGTCTCTCGCCCGACACCGATGCGCGGAAGAGGGGAATCCCCCCTTCAGCCTCATCGGCTAGGTCCACCTGAGATCCCCACGAGCTCATTCTCCTCCGTGCCTCAGCAGCGGCGGGTCCTGAACCGCGGGAAACCGATGGTTGTCCCTCTCCCTTCGAGAAGAGAGACAAACGAGAGTGGAGCTTCTTCAGAGAAAAGCTCTCACAGTGCACACAGATTGCCCCCTCGAGGACATCGCGTGCGTGCTCCTCGCCCAAACAAACAACGCATAGATCATGTGAATCATCGGGCGTCAGAAACCGCTGACACGGATGTACACACTTTCTAAATGCTTCGCTAGTGCTCGCCATAGTAGGAAAGAAAAAGCTCTTACTTTGCTTTTTGGAATGCACGCTTCAAACAGACTGATCAGTGAAGACGAAGAAGGTGAATGATGTGCGCTACCGGTGCCTATTTTGTACTAGTCGCGGCTGTAGTGACGTCATGGCTGTCGCCGGCCAAACAAGTTGGTGTTTTTTCAATGTAGGCTTCAGACACGGGTCACGACGAGGCGTTCCCCATAGCGACCCCTAGAGGACGCAGTTCGAAGTTCCACGAAAGGGAACTACAACTTTCTTGACACATACAATATTGTTGCCAAGAACATATTCAGAAAATAAACTTGAGTTTGTGGTTTGAAAAAAACAAAAAAAACAATAAATCATTGTGCTTCAGTATTTGACCCTTTACTGTATTTAACTGCAATAGAATTAATCACTAACAATATTGTAATGCTAAGCCTTAATATGTTGCCAACAATATGCATTTACTGATCTCCTTAAAACAAAAAAACAAAAAAAACTAAAAAAACTTTAAATCCTAATATACCTTGAAAATACTTCAAATAGCGCAAAGCCCAAATCAACATAACAGGCCTCAGAATATAAAGAGCACAGCAGGGGACAGTCTCATGCAGAGATCCTGGAATAGAAAATTGAATTATGGACTTTAGATGACAAATGACAACAAATGTGTGACAAAAAATGAGAAAGTGTTGAAAAGTCCCACCATTACATAATATACACAAACACAATACATCAACATGTGAGTCAGGGACGAGAAAAATCTGTACAACATTATGAACAGAAGACAAACAAAATCTACCATATTATTAAGATTATATTAATATTATTTTACATATTTACAAACATAACTAAGAACACTAAACTACTGCACTCACCTTCAGTAAAGCCCCAAAGCATGAAGGCAAAGAACATACAGATGTTTGGATAAAAGACCAGAGAAAGCTGAAGATTCCAGATTATGCTGCTGGTGACTGGAGAGAAGAAGCAGAATAATCAGTTAAATTTAAAAACACTTACTGTGAAACATAGAGATTTAAATCACAAAAAAATAAGAACAATTCCCTTCCAAGCACAGGCCTACCAGTGTTATTTGATCTGCAGTAGACCAGACAGCAGAGCAGAAGCACAGCTCCACATCCAGCAGCAAAACAGAAAAATAACACAGCTATGTGCCAAGAAGAGAAACCTGTGAAACACAAACATCAGGTATAACTGCACTGAATCAACTTGGTATATTTAGTCATAGATTCTTATGGAGAAATAATTAGGAGTTTTGCAATTAAGACAATTCATTATTTAAATGGATTAACTATTAGCAGCAGCTACTTAAATGTTAAAAGTTATTTGTTCTTTTTAAATATAAACTTTTTTAAGCTAGTATAAATAGCAAAAAATAGCACCTCATTTACACCAAATGCAAATAAATAATGACAGATACTGTTCATACAGTGTCCACAGCAAACAGTATATTCAAATGATTTATGGACAGAGTTAATGAAAATTGCCACTGCCAACAAGTTTGTCTACTTAAATATAGCACAAATAGACATTCTTTTACATTTTGCTATGTTTGTCGACTCACCCAGTTGCTCCAGTACTACAGTTGCATTGGCTGAAAGATCTCCAGCAAACACTAAACACATGTAAACTCCTTTATCCTCAGTTCTGACACTCTTCAGTCTGAGAGAGAAGTTTCCTTTGGGGATCTCAGCAGTGAAGAACTCAACTCTGTCTCTGTATTGTTCATCTGATGCATCTGATAAAGTCTCATTGTTTTGGAAGAGCAGAACCAAAATATCTCCATCCGTCCTTATCCATGAAACCTCAATGTCTTCGATTGGGATGTAAGAGTCTACAGAGCAGCTCAGAGTGACGTCCTCACCATCATATGCAGAAACAGACTCATCTGATCCTGATACTAGCAAACGCTCTGAAAGAATAAAACTTTTTAAATTCCATTACATAAAATACATACAATGTAATATATATTTTCAGCAGAATTCAGATGGCTCTCACTCACCAGCATGTTTTATCTGAACCACAGTCTCTCCAGAATCCTGCTGACTGTAAACTTTACATGTATATTCTCCCTCATCTTCAGCTCTCAGATTGTCCAGACGGAGAGAGAAGTTTCCATGTTGGATCTGATCAGTAAAGAAATGAGCTCTATCATGATAATCCTGCTGCTGGGCCTCTGGTCGACTCTCACCATCCAGAAACAGATGAACCAGAGTCTGTGAGTCTGTTCTTCTCCATTCCACCTCCAGACCCTCCATTAGTAAGAGTTCATCAACATAACAGGGCAAAACCACTGAAGAGCCCAGAGGAGCAACCAGAGGGCCAGCGGGACCGTGCACAATGAACCCTATCACAAAATAGACAAATTGATTAATGCGTTAAAATAAATCAATAAATAAATAATAGGCGTTAAAAATAAGGTATAGACGTAAAGTGAAAATACTCACCATCAGCGACAATCACAAGTATAGACATAAAAATACAGGTAATGTCCATCATGTATTAAAATTAGACAAAACTGTCATTATATCATAAATGATCATGAAAACGAAAGCCTTTTTCGACGAGGATCACGGGAGGACACGCCTAAAGAAACACTTTCGCTTTCGCTTTTTTACGAGCTATTCAATCTCTTCGTTAATATTAATATTAAAGTGTTTTTAAAATTATAGATGAAATAGTACACAGCATTACGAATATTTGGCGTAATTGAAGTTTCTCTCCTGCTCACCAAGGCTGCTTTTATTTGACCAAAAACAAAAAATGCAGTAAAAATGTAATATTGTGAAATATTATGAAAATGTAATATAACTTTTCTATTTAAATACATTTTAAAATAAAAATCTATTCCTTTGACAGTAAAGCTGAATTTTCTGCATCATTACTCGTCTTCAGTTGTTTGTGTGTCACATGATCCTTCAGAAATCAGTCTAATATGATGATTTGGTGCTTAAGACGCATTTATTATCAATGTTAAAAACAGTTGTGCTGCTTCATTTTTTGGGGGGGAAACTGTGATCCATTACTATTTAAAAGTTCATGGTAAGTAACAAAAAGACATTCAGCAAGGATGCATTAAATTGATCAGAAATAGCATTTATAATGCTGCAAAAGATTTCCGTTTCAAATAAATGCTTTCTATTCATCAAACAATCTTGAAAATATTTATGTATGATACATTTTAAAGCAGCAAAACACTTAATAATAATAATAATAATACAAACCATTATTGATAAGTGAGCACAACAATAATTGATAATTAAGCAAATCAGCATATTATACTGATTTCTGAAGGATCATGTGACACTGAAGACTGGAGTAATGATGCTGAAAATTCAGCTTTGATCACGGCAATAAATTACATTTTACAATATAATAATAATAAAAAAAGTTATTTTAAATTGTAATATTTCACAATATTCTTGTTTTTCTTTCTTTTTTAATAATAAAATGCAGTCTTGAGCATAAGAGTAGTTTACAAAACATGTATACTCCAAATTTATGCTAGCATACACTTGTAAAATATCTCAATACACTACCTGAAATGAGTCTCGACGTAACTTCTGCTTGGATGCTTTGTGTCCGTTTAGACGCTGGAGACATCAGGAGTTTGGGATGGATGGGCATCACAAAAAAAGGACATGAGAATGTCTGTTATCTTGACTCATAAATACAGTTTGTTCTTGAAGGAAAGTAAATAAAGCTATAAAAAGTCACATTTCCACTTTTAAGTGTTACAAAACAAATTAAAGACACATCTTACGACACATTTTTCAGATTTCAATTGTAACTTTGTGCACACAAACATTTAATTCTTTCTTTATTTGAAACTTGTGGCATCAAGACAACTATAAAAGTCATTGTCTAATCTGCAAGAGCCTGAGGAATCAGTGAGGCCAAAAGCAGCTGCACAGGAGCTTACTTTTATACTTTCAAATACAACATTTTGGCATATCACCTGACTTCATGTTAACATTTCAGTCCAGTGGATCTTCATCAGATTGAAATGATACATAATATTGTCATAGCTGTGCAAATGTATGCACATTTGCGACGCTTTGTCTTCATCCAGCACCTGTAGAAGTTTTGTTGGATATACATCCAGTCTACTTTTCATAGTATAAAAATATGATCCTTAAGGAAACATTGTATTTAAATGTGACTCTTATAAACTGTTTTTGGTTCATTAAAAACATAGATTTTGTCACAGATTTAAATCTTATAAGACATATTATAGAACAACTATATAAAGTAAACCTTTTTATACAATAGAAATAGCTGTTCTTCCTACAGAGGCAAATATAATTTGTTCGTCGATTTAAGAAAATCAAACAACTAAAAGTGTATTAAATATATTGATATTAAAACCATCTAATCATCTCTAGTGTTATGATTACAGCCCTTGACACAAATATAAGACCTAAATCAAATGAATCATGATTTTAATGCTGCTACTGCAAGACTTCAATGATCAGATGGACATGTACTTGAACTCCATTCACTTTCAAACTCATTCTACTTTCAAACTAAAATGTCTAAAGATCTGTGACTAATGGCTAAATATACTGTGATTATGGCCAAAAAAAGCAGCATTAACAAGCCCTTTAGCTATAACATTTTTTCTACTAACTGGATTTGTAAGTAGGCAGTACCATGAATGAACTGCATTATCACACGTATTAATAGTTTGTCCTGGGACATGAACATATTCCTGTAACATTACAACATGGACTACTATTTGCAGATTTCTGTTTTCTAAATCTTGATGGGAAAAAGACTGCAAGAATTTGCAATTGGGGAAACGCTACCAGCACCCATTGATTAAACCCCAAGCGGCCTTGGGTGGCATTACAGAGACGATAACGTTATAAATCTTTATTAAAAAAATTATGAATTGTGGATTTTTTTTTTTAGGGGAATAATGTGAATGAATAAAACTATAAAACCAGGAATGTGTATTATGAAAGCTAATAAGATGAACTTCACATCAATTCAAGTTGACTTTAAAAAGTCAAAACAAAAACAAAACCCAGTACTGCATCTAACTTTGCCCAATCTTCTACTTCATGTCAAACCTCATACCTAGTGAATCTCCAAGCCTTCATCAAAGGTAAATATAAAAATAAAACCTCCACACTTGGTTCCTATGGATTGCAATTTCATCCCGCCTTCTTGTTTCTCTCTCCTGATTGGTGGAGGCCTCAGTCCGTCACTTCGCTGTAGTAGTATTTCTGAGCCGTTTCGCTGAGAGTCCAGCCTCCCGCACGAAACTCAAGGATCTCGAGCAGGAGCAGGCGGCCCATGGAGCTCAGGTCCTCCTGCAGGAGAAATCCATCCCTCAGCAGATTGAACAGCTCATCCATGAGCTGCATATTCATCTTCTCCAGCTGATCTCCGATACGGTGCAACTGTAACACCAGACAGTCCACCTGAGACAGAGAGATAAGGAGAGAACTTCAACATCCGAGTAAGATTAAACATTGCTACAAACTAACAGATAAATGATGAAGAGATAATTGAGGTGTCAGAAAAATTCTGCAATCTATATATATATATTGATATATACTGTATATCAATATGCACTGGTGAGTGAAAAGAAAACACTGATCCACAAAAGCTGACATCTGAGAAACCAGATGAATTAATAACTGATAAACAGTGACAGTCAAAACGTGTCATCTGAGAAGCCCTAATTAAAATGTTTTTGATCAATGATTTTGGCCCTACAAACCAATTTCTGATGAAAGAGCCATTTTTTGATGATCACTAATTTATTTACTCAATCAGTTTATCCATTTGAGCCAACCACTAGTAACAATATTCAAGATTCACCTCCTCCTCATTCTGCAGGGCATCAGACTGGGCCAGTCTGAACAAACAGTCATAGACGGGGTGCACAAGGGCCATCATGGGTATGTTGTTCACCTACAGCACAGAGAATTAAAGGGGTCATATGATGTTGCTAAAAAGAAC